GCGCTAAAGTCGTCAGAATAGCTATGGGTTTCGCCGCGCAATTTGCCGCGCGCACCCTCGGACGCACGACTTGACCGTTACGGAGACGGGCCGTAGGAACAGTTTTGTGTAATTGAGACGCCGCATGCGGTTGTCGCGCACCATTCGGCCTCATTGTAACGGTTCCAGTGTTCTCCATACAGCTCAGTCGCTATGCGATTATTACTTTTCGCATCATTCTGATGTTAGTTCTTTTGTTTCTGTATTTATTACTTGCTGCTACATTCTGCTACATTCCTTCGCGCGCGACGCCCCCCTCGCCGCGACGCGACAATTTCGTTCCTACTGCACCACGCCGCCCCTTAAGTACCCTCTGCATTGCTACTCTCATGATCAGATCGTATTACCGCTATGATTCGTTTATGGATTTCGTCAATAATAGGTACTCCGCCCATGACATGAGCTCAAGTGGATAAACACTGTACTTCTTACTTGTTATTGGATCGAACTCAGTAAAATGGATTTCTTTGAAGTTTCTCTCTACCATATGAATACTTACGTCTTTTTCAACTAATGGGTCTTCTAATTCTTTTTCAGCTTTTTCATATCCTTCGCTTCTCCTAGCACAGAATGATACTAAAACGAAATAGCTCGCTTGCCGTGGAAAGTTCAACGAGACTGTGAACTTTCACTGATAGTTTAGAGTCATTGAAAGACTGAATGCCACATAAAAAGGCAATAGCAACTGAAAACCTTCTCTATCACGTTTTATCAGTTGCTATCATTTACTGCAATCCAGTCATATCACACCATTATTACCAACTCCGAATACATACGATCCCATCGCACCACAGCACTCACCAATGTGTCAAGGTTCCATTCTTAACGTAAGAAGTATAAGAGCCTCGGTTACTTTTTTTTTGATGTCTACTCTTCAGATCTTATCTCTTATTATCAGACTTTCTCACCAACCAACTACGCTCGTTTTACACTCACATACCATAATGCTAGCACTCTACTGTTAACAGTGGACGTAACAAGCCGGTGTGTCTTCCTTTCTAGGGCTCCTTATCAGTCCCTACAAATTATTATCACCTTCTGTCTCCTACCATCAGTGTTTCCATGCTGCCTCCTGTAATTTTCCAAATGTGAAAGCTCAAAATTCAGGGGGAGAGGGTTCCGAACTTCAAGTCAAACGCACGCTGACAACTTCGCATCCTAGGGGAAGGGAAGGATGGTATACGGTCATCCGTGAGCTCTCATGCGGTTTTCTACGAAGATATACAATTTTTTTTTGATGTGATTCTGTTGCATCTGTATGGACAGAACGTTTGGCTCATTCTTCGAAACGCAAACCAACATCGCGACGATCAGCATTCCAACGACCAGGCTTACTTGTTGTAGTCTTGGGAAAAAGAAGTAAGCTACTTCAACTGAGCTAACACTTCTGTCTCGCATTTGGGAAGAATTCATCATTAGCGAAAGAAGAGCACATCATTTTGCGTCATAAACCAGCTCCTACTCCTGTGGGTCAGTAATCGCCAAGAACAACAGTAAACAACTTACAAACATTTACAAGTAATGGCATAGCGATCATGAGTATGAAGCCAGTCGCCGACAGACACGTCTCAGCAACTGGCCACATTGATGGGAACCATATTACAAAATGACTTCAAGCTCTACTCCAGCTCCTTATGTAACAAGTCTTATCACTCCCTATCACGAATATCACTGTACACAATCCTACATATATAATTCGCTAAGTGTGCCTGTTAGTTTGCCGGTGTGTACCTGACTGAAGACTCATAACACCTTTCCCCTTAAAGTTAGAGCGTTGAAGAGTACAAGCGACAGTATGAGAACACTGACGGTAGGTGACAGGTGATAACAGCTGATAGGGACTGATCGGGAGCCTTAGAAGGCAAGAGCGACAGGATCCGTTACGTCCTTTGTGTTAACAGTAAACACCGGCTCTACAGCAGGTGTTTTGGGGTGTAAAGGGATGAAAAGAATTGCCGTTCTGACAATGAATTATAAGTAGCCACTAACGGCAAGTGCTATTGAATCGGGTACGTCTTCAATGTCTACAGTGAAGCTTTGACCCCTTGCTCGGTGATGTGGAATGTGACGGGGTCGTGGGTGTTTGGTGATAGGGGCTGATAAGTGGGAATAACGAGCGAGAGCCCCTAATTGTGTGAGTCTTTCATGCAAATAGTGGAACAATGGCAATTCAGTAGTTGATGTGGGATGTAAATAACCGCTGATGGCTGATAACAAGAGCTGATTACAAATGATAATGAATGATAGGGAACGTTGGAAGGTAGGAGTCACAGAACCGCAGCTGATTGGTTGCGTTGCCAGTATCTTCTCTGTCTGATCCTCCAGAAATGCTTCAAACAAAGCTTTTTTAATGCTCAACCGCGTATACTACAGCTCACCTCTTAATCAATTCGAGGTTTTTCAAGGTGACGGCTCTGTCGACTTATACAATAATAATTTATTCAATCATACAGCAAATATTAAGATTTGAACGCCCATCCATTCAGAAGCCAGGAATGCAGTTGTGGAATTTATCTCCAATCACGTTTGGAGGTAATGGATTGATATCGACGTCGGTACAGTAGGAGCATGCCAACCCTTCGCATTTTGCGACCGGATTGACACATGTCACATCGAGATCTGATCCCAACTGGAAAGCCATTTATTACAGCCATTTTATCGCCATCGAACCGGAACTTTACGTACTTTTACTATTTGAAGCTCTGAAAAATACTGACCGCTGATCGTTTTGTCCTTTGCGGCGATTGGGCGACGCTCACTTTGATGCAGAGCATTTCGTTTATTGGCACTATTGGAGAAGGAACGTTGATTGAGCTGAAGCTAATGTTAATTGCTCACGATTGACGAAGGTAACGGTACTGGAGGCGGAAAACACAGCTATGGACAGAAATTCTGCTTTGGACGGGACTCGAAGCAGTACTTTTGCTATTCGGTCATGTGCTCCTCATTTTTTATACTGCTGAGGTCCCGTTTGCCCTGGCCTTCTTAATGGCTTATACACAAGCGGAGTCTTGGTAGGGCGGGGATAAATAAAGGGCACGGTAGACGGATAGCATAGATACGGGTTCGAGTCCTGCTTGAGGCCAGATTTTGCCCATAACTTGCTAATCTTGTGAGAAAACGTAGTCTCAAAATACGAATAAAGAATAGAATAGGAAAATCAACCTCCTTGGCTTGACAGCGACTCGGAGGATTTGGTTTTGAACGGTCCATTCAATGTCATAGTCAGCAAGTCCTCTTCCTATCAGCATCTGTTTGAGCCTCTGCAGTCTAGGATTCACCTGTTTATTGATCACTTCAGCCAGCTGAAAACATTTCTCATGATCATTAGAACGGAATTAAAATTGCAAGGAAACATTTCAAAAGTCGAGGAGAACTTTTTGAAGTGATATGAATTCGTGAAGTCACCATGAAATCTTTTTTCATATCTTTTCTTCACGGCTTCCATGATGTGGTATGATCATCATGTTGGGGATCGTGCTGGTGTTTGACGCCGGTTAGTTAGTCCCCAGGCCCAATGGCCGTCATAAATGCATAAAGCTCCTGTTAGGGAGATTGACCACCACGGTATCGGCCGTCCTGGTGTTCTTTTGACGTCTGGTTGGATCCGTCGGTAACCGCCCTGGAGAAACGACCATCACAGTATTGCAAAACGGCCTGACCCTGATCTGAATTCCTGGGCGTAAGCAACAATGTCCCTGATTTTCGTCAGATAACAGGGCTCGGAACTCCGGATTCCCCTCTGTACTTGCGTGTATTGGGAAGAGTTCTAGGCTTCTCTATGCTGAGTGAAAAATGCTGACTGCTATTCATTCTGCTCAAGTAGGATTCAAAAAGCGTAAATGACGGCAGAAGGGACCACAAAGTCGGAAAGTCGGGAGCGGAATGTAAATCATCCTACGCCGGGCAACTTCCGCCCGAACCCAGAGCTAGGCTTTTCATCATGTTGACTTCTTGATAGAGGTAGACAGATAAAACATTCAGAGGTGTTCCGTTTGGCCTAAAAGTGCCATCAGATGTCAATCCGTTTCTCAGGAGCATCGTACATCTTGGTGAACTCCAAGCAGTTAACCAGGTAATCCCATAGTGCATCTGGTGAATCTTCGAAAGAGGGAACCCCGGCCCTTCTCAACTTTTTGTCGGTCGCCCAATGCCAATATATCGACAAACATCAGCACATCAAGCTAGTCGATTATATAATTGAAGTATAATCGACTTCGAAAGACATAGAGCCAAAAATTCTTGTTGCACTGTTTCATGTCAATGTCAGCCTATACACAGCAGCTCTAAACTAACCTTTTCGGCTACTTTTTTGTTGACAGCACGTGTAGCAAGCTTTTGNTCAAGCTCAGCATTCGAACTCTTCACTCTGAAATGGCAAACGAAAATGTTCAAGAAGTAGAAGCAGGGGAAGTTGTACATTCCATATAACTTACTTCACATCACCACTGACTCGTACACGGGCCAGCTTTCCTCCTATGTATAGTCTCGCCTGGACGGAACCGTGGAACTGGACACCTTTGATCTGCAAATTTTGCCATTAGCTCCCCTCTGAGACCCCTTAGAAACAGTGGGTAAAACATTTACTCGTAAATGGACTCCGTTGTTCATATTCTCAAATGTGACGCCAGTTTTCGGAATGGAGAAATGTTCGAAGTGGCCATTCCATACTTTGTACTTGAAGAGCTTATTAACCTGAATAATAAAAGAACCATTTATAAGTGGTAGATGCCGGTGTGCTGTTGTCCGTCAACACAGAACGCTATTGCAAGCGGTACCTTTTCTTGTTTCTCGGGAAACTGGATAGATTTAATTGCGTCAGCGATTAGGTTGGCTTTTGTTTCCAACAAATTCCATATTTTCGGTGAAATTGTGAGCGTCAAAGGCTCGCGAATGTTCAGAGGAGCGTTCTCTTGACCACTAAAGTATAAACGTTGATCAAGTCATAATACAATAGTCTCGTGGAAGATCTTTTGNAGCAAGCTTTTGGAGAGGGCCTCGGATGGCGTTGAATCTTCGGATATGACGTGTGAAATCAATACGAAGATTCGAACTCATAGAAATTACAGGAGTGAAGGTGAAGTCATTCCAATTCAAAATTACATCAAGCTCAGCATTCGAACTCTTCACTCTGAAATGGCAAACGAAAATGTTCAAGAAGTAGAAGCAGGGGAAGTTGTACATTCCATATAACTTACTTGACATCACCACTGACTCGTACACGGGCCAGCTTTCCTCCTATGTATAGTCTTGCCTGGACGGAACCCCTGAACTGGACACCTTTGACCTGCAAATTTTGCCATTAGCTCCTCATCTGGCACCCCTTAGAAACAGTGGGAAAAACAATCACCCGTAAGTGGACTCCGTTATTCATATTCTCGAATGTGACGCCAGTTTTCGGGATGGAAAAATCTTCGAAGTGTCCATTCCATACTTTGTACTTGAGGAGCTTGTTAACCTGAATATAATAAGTGGGAGATGCCGGTGTCTGTTGTCAATCAACACAGAACGCTATTGCAAGTGGTACCTTTTCTTGTTTCTCGGGAAACTGGATAGATTTAATTGCGTCAGCGATTAGGTTGGCTTTTGTTTCCAACAAATTCCATATTTTCGGTGAAATTGTGAGCGTCAAAGGCTCGCGAATGTTCAGAGGAGCGTTCTCTTGACCACT